GGTCCTCTCATTAGCTTACAATCATCCATCCATTCATCCACCCATCAAATACGATTTTCAAAAGTTAAAATCATGACTCATACAAATATAGAATGAACATGTGAAAGATTTATTAAGTTATTAACAAAAGAACCAATGAGGCTGATTCCAAGAGCATTTGAAGAAATGGGTATTTAAAGGGCTTTGTTCTTTGTTTTCTTTTAAATAATGTCAGCGTAAGATTGCAATATAGTCACAAAACTGGTTAATGTCCTACAGGGCAATAAATCCATAACCTTTAGGGCTATTTTTCCTACTGGACAGAAGTCTGCATATTCACATGTAACTTCACAATATCTGGACTCTAGTCATATTGTAAATAGCAAAATCAAACACAGACACATTGTCCCAGAGAATTAATTCTTGGAGAAGCCCATCTAACAATATCCTAGCATGACTTTAAAATAATTTGCTATCCTTTTGTTTACTTATTTTCAAACACTATATCATTTTTATTAACATATCTGTTTGTTCAATAAACCTTTATTAATATCTAAATGCGCCAGATATATGCAGATAGAGACACAGTCTCTGTCCTCAAGGAACTTATAACCCAATGGGGAGACAAACATTCAAAATAAAAATTACAATATAAAGTGATAGACATATTCCCCTCCCAGGTTCCCTAGGATCCCATCAGTACAGAAGTCCACCCAGTCCCCAATTCTATACCATGTCAACCTATCCACCTTTTCCCCACTTATATATTGAAATGCATCTCTTAGCCTGGCCAATGTGGCTCAGTGGTTGTGTCGACCAATGAACCAAGAGGTCATGGTTTGGTTCCCCATCAGGGCACATGCCCAGGTTGTGGGCTCAGTCCCCAGTTGGGGGTGTGTAGGAGGCAGCTGATCAATGATTCGCTCATCATTGATGTTTCTATCTCTCTTTCCTCCCTCTCTGAAATCAATAAAAAAAATTTTAAGAAATGCATCTCTTAGAGCCCAATAGATGAATGATTTCTCTCTTAGATTTTTTAATGGATTATTGATTTTTAGAGAGAGGGGAAGGGGGAGAGGAGAGAGAGAGAGAGAGAGCAAGAGAGAGAGAAACATCAATCAGCTGCCTCACTCACATAGCCTGACTGGGGATCAAGCTTGAAACCTGGGCATGTGCCCTGACTGGAAATAGAACTGGTGACTTTTTGTTCCATGGGATAATGCTCAACCAACTAAGCCACCCCAGCCAGGATAATAGAGATACATTTTAACCTAGTGGTGTGTGTCACATGGCGGGCTCAGAACTGGTTGGGAAAAGAAACTTTGAGCAGGAAAGAGGTGAAGAGGCCTTTCCTGTTGCTCCTAAAATTACTGCCTGTGGATGACTTGGACATAATTACTAATTAAGCAGCCCTTGTATTTCCAAAACATTCATTGAAGACGTATTTATTTCCAAATTAATGGAGCGGGGAAAGCTTTCTGAAATTTGACTTTGGGGCTCTAGAATTTAGTTATCACATGGCAGTCTTTTTTCCAGGAGAGGGATGCAGGAGTCTGCCTGAGGACTCCGCAACTACCTTCTCTCCCCATCAAATCAGAGTTCTATTTCAATAGAACTAGCAGTGGACCTGGGTGACTCAATTTCACTGGCCCTGCTCTTATGTTTTCCCCTATCTCCATGGTCACCAATGTGCCAGCTCCCCAAGAATACACAACGATTTTCTCTCTGCTTGTAATTCTCCTCGCAGAGCCACCTAGAGTAGAAGTCATGTATTTCAGTTCTCTAACCTTAGGGATTCGACTGAGTTAATATTTAATAAGTAATTATTAATGTAGCGAACTTCAATGGAGGCTGTAGTAATAATAATACTATCCTTCCAGGAGCCATAGTTTAGTGGGGAAGGACAGGAACTTGGAAGTAATTCTAAAGCTGTGATTCTTAATCCTGGCTGCCTGTCAGGGTCACCTGGGGAACTTTGAAACATCCCGATGCCCAGGCTGCACTCCAGACCAATTTAATTAGAATCCCTGGGGTAGGACCCCCAGCGTCAATATTTTTTTAAAGCTCCCTGGGAAAGTCCAATGTTGCTAAGCTAGAGAACCATTGGTCTAAAGCAGGGGTCCTCAACTTTTTAAACAGGGGGCCAGTTCACTGTCCCTCAGACCGTTGGAGGGCCGAACTATAGTTTTTAAAAAAAACAATGAACAAATTCCTATGCACCTTGCATATATCTTATTTTGAAGTAAAAAAAGGGGAACAAATACAGTATTTGTATTTGCATGTGGCCCGCAGGCCGTAGTTTGAGGACCCCTGGTCTAAAGCAAAAGAAATGAAAAACACTGTAGTAAAAGGCTAACTAAGTGCTGTATGGATAAGGATGCCACATCCATTCTGGATATGCGAATACTCCTATCCACTATCTGGCCACAAATGCGGACAAGATAGCCTCTCGTAACCATGGAGAAAATGTAGGTCAGTTGGATTGTAGGGCATTTAGAAACAATACACTCTGGGAGGTAAGGTCTGCAGAAAATTATGTCTCTAAGGGGAAAAGGGCCCAACAAAGATCAACCCAGAAAGATGACCCTCAGATTCATTCCACACACTCTCTCACCCTTGGCGGGGGAAAGGTGGGGGGCATTATTTTTTTTATAACGCCCTTGTCTTTCTGAAGAAGTCCTATCCATCCCCAAAGCCCACATCCTTGGTGAAGCCGTTGCATTTCTTCCTCCTATCCCAAGCAACATTGCGACCCTGTTTTTCTCTGGCTCTTAGCTCCCCGTCTGGTTTTAGCAGCTAATTATAATTATGACAGAACTCAGTTATAATATGGCAGACAGTTATTTATACATTTACCCTTTTATGGGTCTCACTTATCTTCATTTCCTTAGTATCCAGCACAGATTCTTGTTTTCCTTTGGCTGAATAAACAGAGCTGTAGCGATGTTAGGTCACGTCAGCAAGTCGTGCCATCATCAGGGGAGACCCAGCCTCTGGACTGCCCAGGCCCCACGTCTGAGCATCCAAGGGGCGGGACTGGCGTAAAGCAGCTGGAGGAAACATGGAAGAAGGCCTGGCAGGGCTGTGGCTGTCAGGGGTGAGCTAGACTGGAGTTTCGCCTCTCTCAGCAGAGTTTTGCTTTGAGAGAAACAAGAGGAAGTTCACAGGTTTCTAGGTGAATGTATGGACTATGAAGTGCCCGTGCCTCGTACTCCCATTTTATTTAGGCCACAGGCATCCCCAGACAGTCTGGAGCAGCCCTTTCTGTCTGAAGAAGTTCTTGTGTGTTTTGTTTTTAAACTTGAAATATTTTTTTGGGAAAAAATTTTTTTTGGCAACTTACAGGTTTTACACATGCTAGTATATAGGTAACACTATTATTTCCATTGTATAAATAGGAGGGTCATGCATTCTTCATTTTCTAGGGCAGTGCTAATTTTAGATAATATGTTCTGTTTTTAGACTGTGTATCCTGATTTTTTTTTTTATATGGAAAGTTGCTATTCTTACAACTGACTATCATCTGGCCAGCCGTGCTTAAAGATCTTTTAGCAGTCAAGATGTCTAATTACCTTACATCATTTCTCTTTGAGAAATTAAAGTAGGGCTGCCTCATGGACACCTCCCCACCCCGCAAAAAAAAAAAGAAGAAGAAGCCTGAAGGTAACATGGAGCTGGCACTTAGCACCTTGTCCTGAGCTCCAGACTTCTGTTGCTTGTGGTTTCATGGTGAGGACGAGGTATATGAAAAACTCTCTTCCCAGCACAAATTTGAGCAAAAATCCTTCACAGAGAAATGGGTCATTAAGAACTGTTTATGTATTCCACCTCTAGAACTTCAGTTTCTCTGTGAGGTGCAGGCACAGGAGCCCACCAGGAGGGGCACGGGGCCTATTGCTGGAGCACCCCACCCCGCCCTGTGCCACAGGCCCAATGGAGTTGCTCTGGTCATTACAGATTCAACTGCTAAGCTTTCTCTTTCTGGTTAATAGAGGCAGCCAAATTGAACATCAGTGGTCCCACTGCCACCAGTCACCTCAATTTTAATAGAATGGCCCACAATTACACAATCTTTTTTACCTAATAAAAGGCAAAACTTTTTTTTTCTCACTGAATAGTACAAAAAACTAGTGTTAAACTTTATAATATTTTTAATATCTAAGGACCAGAAGCTTTTTAAAAGTTGCTGAGTAACAGTTATATTTGGTTGTTTTTAATCGTCTGAAAGCCTTAAGGTTTCTAGTAGCCTGGTTACGTTCTTTAGAAGACATCTTGTATGTTCTTTCTTCAGTCGATGTGTCGTTTTATGAGACAATAACTAGAGAATAGCACCAACAAATTGATAGGTGGGAAGCTATTAGGACATGAGCCACGTCACCTTTTGGAAAAAGCGGGCTATTTTCAGATGTCACTAAATGAAGAGCTCTTCTGGCTCCATGAAGTGTCATGGTGGCTCCACGGGCTTCCTTAACGCTTCTGTAATGGAAACCCTGCAATAAGGACGGGATCCTTCTCAGTAGCTGGCCAGTCTGTACTCATAGATTCCCGTCAGCTGTCTCCACAGCTGACATCTGAGTGTTTCCATCAGCCTGAGTTTTCCGCTCTTGCAGCCTCGTGGCTTTAGTGTTGCAACATCCAGGAGCTTCTCACTTGCCCAGACTCCCAGCAGCTCTTCACTTGAGGGGAACGAGTGAACTCTCTAACCCTCTGTTCTCCCCAATGAGGGGGAGGGGACAAGGATATATGAGGAGGGGGCTTGGTATGAGTTTTACCACATTTGACTAAGGATCAAGAGAGGGTGAGGCCAAAGAGAGCCTGCGCTGGGCTCTGCTAAAACAGCGCCTAAAATGAAAGAGAAATGGGCCAGAGTTTGTTCTGGATAGTAGTCATGTTTTCCTGCCAATGCACGAGTCCTGCTTGTCGACAACCAATCTAAGTGCCCAAATAAGATTGTTAGCCTTAGGAATCAAACTCGATGGCACCATTTTAACAGGAGGCTTCATTCTTCTTTTCTTATCCAGAACTAAGAGAAAAAAAATGAATATGGTTTTTGCTCACAGGATGGAGAACAGCAAGCCGCCTGTGGTTATTCCGACACTTCTGGTGCCCCTCCAAAACCACAGCTGCCCCGACACAGCCACCCCTCGGCCAAGCCATGACCTGGCGGAATTCCACGAGGAGCACGGCTGGATGAGCAACAGAACAGACCCGCAGTATGGACCGAAACCCGGGGAAGTGGCCACGGCCAGCATTTTGTTTGGGACCCTGTGGCTGTTGTCTGTCTTCGGCAATTCCCTGGTTTGTCTGGTCATCCATAGGAGTCGAAGGACTCAGTCCACCACCAACTACTTTGTGGTCTCCATGGCGTGTGCCGATCTTCTCATCAGCATCGCCAGCTCGCCTTTCGTCCTGCTGCAGTTCGCCACCGGCAAGTGGACACTTGGCAGCGCCATGTGCAAGATGGTGCGATACTTTCAGTATCTCACCCCGGGCGTCCAGATCTACGTCCTCCTCTCCATCTGCATAGACCGCTTCTATACCATTGTCTATCCTCTGAGCTTCAAAGTGTCCAGGGAAAAAGCCAAGAAAATGATCGCGGCGTCATGGATCTTCGACGCAGCCTTTGTGACCCCCGTGTTCTTTTTCTACGGCTCCAGCTGGGACAATCATTGCAATTATTTCCTCCCTTCCTCTTGGGAGGGAACTGCCTATACTGTCATCCATTTCTTGGTGGGCTTTGTGATCCCATCTGTCCTCATCATCTTATTTTACCAGAAGGTCGTAAAGTATATTTGGAGAATAGGCACTGATGGCCGAACTGTGAGGAGGACAATGAACATTGTCCCAAGGACAAAAGTGAAGACGGTCAAGATGTTCCTCATTTTGAACCTATTGTTTCTGCTCTCCTGGCTGCCTTTTCATGTGGTTCAGCTGTGGCACCCCGAGGAAAGAGACTATAAGAAAAGTTCCCTTGTGTTCGCAGCAATCACGTGCATATCCTTTAGTTCTTCAGCCTCTAAGCCTACTCTGTATTCCATTTATAATGCTAGTTTCAGGAGAGGAATGAAAGAGACCTTTTGCATGTCCTCGATGAAATGTTACCGAAGCAATGCCTATACTATCACAACCAGTTCGAGGATGGCCAAAAAGAACTACGTGGGGATTTCAGAAATCCCTCCCGTGGCCAAAACGATAACCAAAGACTCAATCTATGATTCCTTTGACAGAGAAGCCAAGGAAAAGAAACTTGCTTGGCCCATTAACTCAAATCCTCCAAACACTTTTGTCTAAAATCTCAGAATTCTTTCGAATATTGTTATGCGCCAGAGATTAAAAACTTTAACTATACAAACGAAAGCTATTTATATATTTTTTCAATCAACTTTCTGAGGGAAATGTTTTCTTTTGTAAAGTGTATTCATTTATAGATTATAGTTTTAATTTTAGTTACTGTTTCACCTTGAGCTCCTTTTACTATATTAGTGATAACATACACAAAAGAGAATGTGTTTCTACTTTTAATTTACCATTATATTTGAAAAGCGTAAACCATACACACAGTCTTTGATTAATGAATCAGCCTACTTTTATTGTTTCCTTTTTGTCCTTCCTACTGAAATGCTGTAACTATGGGCTTCTGTTTTAAATGGAATCCTCTCTGTCACACATTTCAGAGGGTTGTATTTTTTTTTATTAAGGACCCTTTAGGAAGTGTTAATGTATATATTTTTACATTATCTTCTTCTAAATAATCACTGTCCAGAAAGCACTCCATGTACAGTATTGGAGATATACTGGAACTGCTGGACAGTCTTCTGTGACTGAATTTTTTTAAAAAAATATTTTTATTAATTTCAGAGCGAAAGGGAGAGGGAGAGAGAGATAGAAACATCAATGATGAGAGAGAATCTTTGATTGGCTGCCTCCTGCACGCTCCCCACTGGGGATCGAGCCTGCAACTCTCATTTTCATTTCCCTTTAACTTAAGCAGCGGGTGATACCTTGAAAAGTTTGAAGTCAATGGGATGTTTTTCTCACACCTGTGTCCTATCTAGGTTGTGTCTAGAGCAGTGGTTCTCAACCTTCCGGCCCTTTAAATACAGTTCCTCATGTTGTAACCCAACCATGAAATTATTTTCGTTGCTACTTCATAACTGTACTGTTGCTACTGTTATGAATCAAAATGTAAATATCTGGTATGTGGGATGGTCTTAGGCGACCCCTGTGAAAGGGTCATTCGACCGCCAAAGCGGTCGCGACCCACAGGTTGAGAACCGCTGCCTTAGAGACTCAGACATGAGGCCTTTTCTCCAGCCAGTGCCTGCCTGCTCCCCACATCTCTCTCCAGGACATATCATCATACTCTCCCCAACTCAACTCTTCTTTGCCTGTCATAACTCAAGATTTTCTTCTCTATAGCTTGCAGGTCCCCGTTATTTCAAATCGAGGACCAGCACAGTTTTAAAGTGTTCTTATTAAAACAATAAAGGGCTTACAGACTAGACTAGCCTGCATTTTCACACCCTAGTTACCAAGCGCTGCAAATAATCATTCCAGTTGTTCAGTGATTTTGCACTATCTCATTTGACACCCTCAAGAATTCTGTGATGTACTTATTATGATGTTTTATCCATGAGGGTCCTGGGACTCGAAGTGACGCGGCATATCCGGGTCAGAGTGGGCAGAGCTGGTGCTCACGCTCAGGTCCTTAGGCTGCAGGTCGGTTGCTCTTTTCTTGACATGACAGCAGTGTCTCTAGAGAACACATGAGCAGCCAAACCCACCCGGCCTCCATAGGCTTTCTGGCTACTGCTTTGGTGGAAGTCTAAGGTTTTAGAGAAGCTGGCCATTCCTAAAAGGAGAGTTTAGATCAGCCGTGGGCAAACTACGGCCCACAGGCCGGATCATCCGGCCCATTTGAAATGAATAAAACTAAAAAAAAAAAAAGACTGTACCCTCTTATGTAATGATGTTTACTTTGAATTTATATTAGTTCACACAAACACTCCATCCATGCTTTTGTTCCGGCCCTCCGGTCCAGTTTAAGAACCCATTGTGGCCCTCGAGTCAAAAAGTTTGCCCACGGCTGGTCTAGATGAAATTGAAGCTGGCCCTCACCTCTTCCTTGTCCGTGGATAGGTTCTTGGCCTTGTAGTGCTGAATTTCTGAGACACAGAGAGAACCCTGTGCCTTCCCACCTCACCAGGCACAGGGAAACAAGACGAGATTGGCTTTGATAGTTGAGGCAAAGAATAACCATAAGGCATTTAATCTGCAAATATTTACAGAGCTGATGTTTATAAGTGGTGGTGCTTCCTTCAATGCATTCAAAAGATAAAAATAATCACTATATTTTCCTTCCTTTTCTTTCTCCTTATATATATTTTTAAATATATATTTTATTGACTTTTTTACAGAGAGGAAGGGAGAGAGATAGAGTTAGAAACATCGATGAAAGAGAAACATCGATCAGCTGCCTCCTGCACACCCCCTACTGGGGATGTGCCCGTAACCCAGGTATATGCCCCTGACCGGAATCGAACCTGGGACCCTTCAGTCTGCAGGTCGAAGCACTATCCACTGAGCCAAACCGGTTAGGGCTCTCCTTATATTCTTACTAGGTCCCTAGGCTTGGCCTGCAATCAGAGCCTATCAGGGCCTTCCAGCTGCCAGCCAGGGCCTTCCTTCGTTCCACATTGCCCCCTGGTGGTCAGTGCATGTCATAGCAAGTGATCGGTCTTCCGGTTGAACTTCCACAGGGACAATTTGCATATTAGACTTTTATATTTATAGATTCCATGAGCAAATGGCACTCTAAAAATGACAAAATGAGGCCAATGTTTCTCTCACTTGGCCCTTGAATTTTATAGTCAAACTTGTTTAAAAAAATAGAAGTGATTTTATTTTCTGCTCCTTTAAATGGAATATTATTTTTTAAGGTTAGATTGTAAATAGTTAAACTTAATTCATTTTAATTTATTCTTATGTATATTATAGGTCTCAGTTTAAACTAAAAGAGACCAGAAAATTGCTAAGCTCTATCCTGTCTCTAATGTTCTATGAGTTTACCCAGGAAGTAGAAATTCAGTGAGACCATCTCATAAGAACTCTTGTTATAGAAAGTACTTGTTTTTAAATGCCCCCAACTAATGACAAATTAAAATGTTAAATTATAACTGAGAGAGCACCAAAATTTCATGACCTCTGAAAATGCAGCTATCCTCTCTCAGCATGTTGATAATTCACTTTATCTTAGTTTAGTTTAATATGTAATATTCCTATTGTCTTACTTAATCCTGAAACTGGAGAAAATCAGATATAATGCCCAGATTGATGAATATTTGCATAAGTCTCAGCAGCACAAGAACATTCACCAGACCTTACGTTTGCCTGTCAAAAACTAGAGTTAAGGCGCAGGGAGGCAGGCTTTTGGAGAGAATGAGAAAATCACTCCAGTCTCCTTACCAGGTACACGATGATGCGCACCATAAATCTGATTCCCGTAGTTTCCAAACAGGAATTCAAGAAAGTGAGAATGGGGGTGTGGTGTGGTTCAGAGTAGCAGTTCTCCTCCCTGACTCCAGGTTCCCATAGACTCAGAGGAAGGGAGAGGGATGCATCCTTTGAGGTGGAATTTGAATTTCTCCCTTCTCATCTTCAGTGAAAGCATTCGTGTAACCAACCTGCACATCTTGTTCAGATGTGCTTCCCTGTGGACCTGCCAGCACAGGTTTACCCAGGATGCCTGGAGCTGACTCCCTGGGCCAGAGTTCTTGCCCAGGAAGAACAATTTTACCCACCAGGCATTGGGAGCAGTCATTCGCCAGATAAGTTGGCAGTTTTGCCTGTCTTGATGGGCACAGTCCCTCCCTTCACCTCTTCAGCTTTGCTGCCACCTGCCCCGATTCAGTTTCAGAGCCACACAACAAGATCTGCTGGAGTTACGTGACCAGCATCAGCTTGGAGGGTGCATCCCTCTGTAAGAACCACATGTAAAAGAAGCAAAGAATTAGAGATTTTTAGAGGAGAAGGGATGTTGGGAGACCCTAGCACAAGCCTCTCGTTGTTTACAAGAGGAAATTAAGACCAACAGATGTCAAAGTAGGGGAAAACGAAAATGCCTTCTACTACCAGTCCAATGTCCTTTCGCATTCTGCTTGCCGTGGCATGATTCACGTATTGGAGATAAACTCCTCCCTGTGTGCAGAAGAATATGAAGAGTAGAAACAGTTCCCCGCTGTTCGTTCCGCTGCTCATTTGCCTGGAACAGAGATGACTTGAAGGTGCTGTCATTAGTGGAAATGCAAACCGACTTTGTCAAACTGTTCTACAGAATGGCCGCTTGATGGCACTGTGGCCGGCAGGCAGAGCCCACCACCTCTTCAGATGCCTGTCAGTCACACTGGCTGTTCCAGAGAAGTCCTTGTCTCATAGCAACAAGACAGGAAAATTGCTGAGCACCCAGAGGCAGCTGTAGATTAACTAATCAATCAGTGTGTTCAAAACACAAAGCATCTAAACACTGGAAAAATTCCAAAATAATTAATACCTTTTATAGACGTGAAGTCACTAGTCAAAATATTATTTTAAACCCATTTTACAAATGGTATCGTTAAAAAACAACCACCATCAGACCACAAAACTGGCAGTGGTTTCACCCACACTTACCAGGGCGTCTCTCTTTCCTGCTCCTTTTATCATTTGACTCTGAGAATTCATGGACCGTTTCATTCCAGTGTAACCTAGACTTTCCCTAAAAGTAAATGTTTGTATGCTCCTGGTAAGTAGGCAGTTAAATTAATTTTAGGTCCATTTTATTTTCTCAGACCCTCTTGAATTTTTTGAGCCCCCACAATTTGGGCCATTTTAAACTTCTTGCTCAACTGAAAACTTCTAGTCCAAAGCTCTGTATTCTTTCTCAAAAGGAGCCTCTTTAAAAGTATGTGTTGCTTTAAAAACTCTGTCAACCTTATATAATATGTAGAATGTATGATTTTTAGTTCTGCAGGAAAATGACCCCCACAAGTGCTGGGCTCTGCAGGGCTGAGCCGTGTGTAACTTAGATGGCTACCAAAGTAACCAACAGGTGGGGAGCGTATACAGGTGGAGACGCTGGGAAAGGGACAATTGACTAAGTGACTCACGGACAGGATGGAGCAGGATGGCGTGGATATCATCCAGCTTCTCAGACTCACGGGCAATAGAAAACGTATGAATTGTTTATTTCTGCAATTCTCCATTCAGTCTTTTCAGACTGTGGTTGACAAAGGGTAACTGAAACCTCAAAAAGTGAAAAACACGGTGAGGGGGGACTACTGTATTGCTAAAGAGAGCCTCCACCTA